TGCATCGGTGGCTCAGAGTGAGCCTGCTTTGCGGCATTAATCTTTTGTTCAAGGCGTTATTCCAGAGCTGCAAGCTGTCCCAGTGTGGCAATTTGGTGAGTCTGAGGCGTCACCTGCTTGCGATTTGTGCTATGCGCAAGGGTCGTGGATCATGGTGCGTCTGAGCCAATTTGGTGATGGTCTGCTTGGAAGCGATGATGTTCGTCATACTTGGCAATGGAGCTTCCTTCTGGCTATCGAGTTTGGCGATGAGGATATCACCATGCTTCATTTGATAGAGCCAATGCGAAGGCTCTTGAGGTGCTGTCACCTGCCAGAAGATCCCTTCTTGTACCTGCATTTGAGACATGGACTGCACTGGCCGTGCATTCCAACCAATGTGCTTGAGTCCATTATACCACCGTATGGGAACGGGCCCACTTTGTATGGCCGCAGCTCGTGTCCGTCCAAGAACATCAGGTCTGGCCTATGCTGGGCATGAACTGTTTCAGCTTGTTCTCGATCGACTCTGAGCCCGAATCGGGCACCCATTCTGACCACGGTGGTCTTTGCTTCAGTCTGGCTGCGGGCGAGGCGGACTTGTGCCAGTGACAAGCGTGGCATCCAGACTACCCTGAATGCTGGGTCGGGCTTGCGACCGTCCATGGTTCTTGGCTCGACATAGATGCCGTCAACGGCAGCATTGTGCATCAACTGGGTGGCGAATGTCTCCGTGGCGCGGACCAGGAACGCAAAGACTTCAGCTTGGCTGGCCTGGGCTCTCCCCAGCTTGGCATGGTCAGCTTGTGGGAATGCGTCAACCTGGAGGATTGGATGGTCGAAAACGGCCTTCGCTGGGTGGGGCAAGAATTGACGTCCATGAGCTTGCCCACTCATCCCTGTAAACCACAATCTTGAGGGCTTTTGTTTGAATCTCTTCTACTGCGAAGCTTTCGGTCGGCGCCGAGCTGGAGCATGGGCTAACACCAACATGGGTTCGCCTGTGCTTGAGGCCATGGCAGGGACACGAATGTGCTCAACCTGGGCCGGGGGCCTGCTGTCTGCGTGATCTAAGATCAACAAAGCCACTCCTTCCGCAGAAATCGGGGCCGTGAGACCCAGCAGGTGCGCCACGTCCTGGACGTTGCAGAGTGCGACTCCTTGTGCATGTGCCTCGACTTTGTGAAGCGGGATGGCCGACAGCTTTTGTCCGTCCTGTTGCATAAAGATCGAATCCGGCAGCTTAATCTGGTCGGCTGACGGGATGACTGGCGGCTTGTTGCTTTTGACTGTCGGCTTTTTATTCGACTTAGAACCGAAGGGCTTGTCACTGGCAAGCCGTGCCTGCACCGCTGCATCGAGTTCGGAGGCAAGGACAATCCTGATGGGTGGGACGGCTTGTGATGCCAGAGTCTTGAGATCTTTCCAAGGCTGTGAACTGGCAAGTGCTTTCGTGGTGGCGTCTGCCCCTAACTGTTGCACATGTGGACAGCCGTTCTTGACTCACCCCATGTTGCTTGAGTCAGTGTTCATCCCACAAGACATGGACCGCCAAATCCGCCCACTGATCATTGAGTCATGCGGAATAGGGGACATCAGCTTCGAGACATTCCTGCCGCCCACCATGTTTTCGGCCGACTGTGGTAACTGTGAGCTGGATGTTCGCCCATGTCATCGGCGCACCAAATCCGCGTGCAGCCACGCCAGCCCAGGCTGACCAATGGAGAGCCCCTTTCACTCGCCATACAATCCTCATGGACATAGGCACCGGTCACAGTCTGAGACTAGGAGGGGCTTTGCAGTCTGACCAATTGTTGTTGCAGTCTGTTGCAATGACCCTGGTGGACATGTGCTGCCAGTGGACTCCAATGGCTCAGGAACAGGACTGGGACCAGGAAGACCTTGTGCTCTGGGTTGGCATCATGGTCATGCATACATTAGAGCACCCATGTGGCGATCAGTTGGTCAGGGTCGTCCTGTGCATCTATCACAATCGGGTGGTTCACGTTGTGTCCCTGATACTAACGAAGCATAGTATGCCATCTCGTCGCTGGCCACCAGTGGGCCTTGATTCAACAGTGCATGGAAGCGATGGCAGGCGTTGGTGATCAACTGAATGGATTTCTCTGCGTGTACAGTATTGCACTTGGGGACCATATGTGTAGCTCCATTGTCCAGGACATACCATGTTTCGGGGGTCAGCAGGCTTTGCAAAGGCAAGGGTGCCCCGGTAAGTGTGGAACCACTATAATGGCTGTACGAGGGGCGAAACGCCCGCCTCAGCTTGCGACAACTGGCCTACTGTAGAACCCTTGCGAACTCGAATGCTGATCGGTGCACAGTCCTTGCAGCAGACTGTGATTGCAAAACTTTCATCTGGGATCAGACTGAGGTGCTCTGCCTGGTGGTGTAGATCAACCTCGGCATCGGTCGGCTGGCGGTGGTCGGCATCAAGATCCGGATGCATACATTCCGAAGCTTGCAATTGTTCGGGCTCACCTACTTGGCGATCACTTGCTTCTTTCAGACCCAGGTTACCCCCTTTTCCCTTTCCTCAAGCGGAACCTTGGGTGTGCTCGACCTCGGGAATGGGCGAGTGGGCATCTACTGGATGAGAGGTCTGTGTGACGTCTCTTGTCTCCCAAGGTGCAGGTACCTTAGTCGGACAAGCCTTGTTCGGCTTGTTGGCAAAGAACTCTAGACCTCCGGTGGCTGAGACGACATTGTCCGCATGGCTGCAAGCTAGATCGGTCTCGGCTGTTTCTGCCTTTCGCTTGGGGCCCCCTCCATGATTCCTGGTCGGTTCAGTGGCAACCGAAGCGACGATATGCGGCATGGATGGTGTCGTGACTGCCGACTTACAACCGAACCTAGCGAAGCAGGCTTGTTGGGAACAATGCTGACTCTTTGGTGTGCACGAACGGAGCAAGCGTGTTGTCTCTGGCGGCAAAGACTTCTGTGGCTAAACCTACAAGTGCTTGTTCTGCAAGGGCCTGACATGATAAGTGCCACAGGGATTGTGCCGGTGAGGCCATTTGGCCCACGGCGGTGAGGTCGAGTCTCAGGGACCTCGGGTCTCCATGGATGTATGGTGCTGGGACCATATGCAGGATGGCTACTTCATCTGGATGGGTGCGCCTCATTTGTTGGATGTCATGACCTCGAACCTTGGTGACCCCATTCAACGGGATCAACGCCCCATACAGCCCTTTTTCTTCGAGGCGTCGGTCTGAGAAACCTCCGGCCCTACAGCCGCATGCGCACGCCTGGAGTTGGGATCCCCATGCATGGAGGGCCGTTGGCAATGGTTTGTTGGGATTGATCGCATTCTTACCTAGACCACCGGGTTGGCTGTCAAAGGCTTCCAATTCATGGGGCTTGAGGGTGAGCTCGACGATCTGGGACGTCGGCCACTCTGCCATATTCGGCAGCAGGTGTCTGAATGAAGGCTGGAAATCGAGGGCCGGAAATCTCTGCAATGCGGGCAATTGAACTCCAGGGTGTGTAATAGCCCACCAACGTGTTCGCTTGCCTTCCAGAGTTCCTGAAGGTGGCACAGTTGTTGCTGAAACGTGTAACCCGCTGCTTTACAGAAGGACTGCAATGTATCTTGTACCCATGGTGAATGGAGCGCCTCTTTGGTGCATTCCAGAATCAGAGCCACTGGCTGGTATAGGTAGCACGCAGAAACCATACCTTCGAAGCTTCGGGCTCGTGGATCATACTGTTGGCGACCATCCCCTGGTTGGGAAAAAGGTTGGCGTGCAAAACCTCCTGTGATGATGCGTGGGTCCAATTTCACTTCTGTACTATCGATGTCTCCGGCAATGACAGTCTGCTGTCGGGCACGAAGCCAATCAACATACTTGTCGTTGATCTCGACGTGGCAACGTACCTTGCTTCCAATCAAACGGTATCCAGCTGTCATGATTGCGTATCCAGAGCAAATGTCAATGACTTCGGTCGCTCCATCTCGATCTATCAAGCCGTGGATCAGCGTTGTCGTGGCCTTTGCGGCTAACACTATGGTTCCTTCTTCAATCGATTTGCAAGCTTCAAAGATCGTGAAGCGATCACCCTTCAAATCAACTCCAGTCAAAAGGAAGGCTTGTCCTCGTAGGGCCGTCGTGCAGTGGTAGGCGGCCCTTTGCGAGTCCCGGTACCATGCTCTTCCGGCTATGTGGACCCTGGACCCATCTTCAACTTTCCCTAGCCATGGCTCAGGGTCGAACACCGACATGAGTGCCCCCCCCGAGTGCTTGGCCAGCGCCGGCGCACCTGCTGGGAGGTGACTCAGGCCCGTGCCTAGCGATGGCCTCCAAGCTAATCGCAATGGCCTCCAACCTAATGGCAATGGCCTCCAACCTAACCGCAATGGCCTCCAACCTAATAGCAATGGCCTCCAACCTGATAGCAATGACTTTCAACCCAATAGCGATGGCCTCCAACCTAATTGCAATGGCTTCCAACCCAAAAACGATGGTCTCCAACCTAATACCAATCCCTTCCAACCTAATAGCGATGGCCTCCAACCTAATAGCAATGGCCTCCAACCTAGTCACAATGACCTCCAACCTCATAGCAATGGCCTCCAACCTAACAGCAATGGCCTCCAACCTAATAGCGATGGCCTCAAACCTAATAGAGGTGGCCTTCAACCTAATAGCGATGGCCTCCAACCTAATCGCAATGGCCTCCAACCTAATAGCAATGGCCTCCAACCTAATCGCAATGGTCTCCAACCTAATCGCAATGGCCTCCAACCTAATAGCGATGGCCTCCAGCCTAACAGCGATGGCCTCCAACCTAATAGCAATGGCCTCTTACCTAATAGCAATGGTCTCCAACCTAATAGCGATGGCCTCCAACCTAATAGCGATGGCCTCCAACCTAATAGCAATGGCCTCCAACCTAATAGGTATTGTTTGCCACGAAAAAGAAGTGAACTGCATTTTACTTTCTTCCAAACTGTTGTACTTTCTGTGGTTGAATCTATCTGCAGCAACTCTTGGGGACCCAAGGCAAGATGCAGATCGGGCGGTATGCGCTGCACATCCATACTTGCCCCTCATCGCCGTCAGCACAGGCATGATGTGATAGCTGCCTTTGAGACTGTTTGGGCAGCATGTGCAGGGCCCCGGTGTTGGCTTCGCAGGGTTTGGCACAGCCCTTTCATGTTCTTTTCACTCCTGCTTACCTACTACACTCCAAACCTGTATGTAGGCGATGGCGAGCTCTTGCTCTACGACGCTGCGTCATGGCAGAAGCTGCGAGCCGACGCTTGCGTCGGATGCCTTCAGCTAGCAGCACCTGTCTGGTTTGGGAGCTTGCGGGATCCAATTATGGTAGTCGACGGCATTCACACACACAGTTGTCGCAATGCTCATTGTTGTGTTTGGGACTCATTTGAAGAGCAGTTGCGTGACTTGTCGGTTCTAAGGAGGGCATGACTAAACTCTGATAGACATGTTTCGCATACTCGCGTTCTGGGATGCAGCACGATTGCGCGGTGTCAACAATCGTTTTAGAGAGATCACTTTGTTTGACGTTTTTGAAGAACCCATGTCAAGCGGGAAGCCATCTTTCATGTGCGAAAAGAAAGGACCATCCTGTAGCACTCTGTGCATTCATTCGGGGAAATTAATTTGGCATTGGATTCTGTCACCCATATCATATCTTCGTTTTGTCTATTTGGTCAGAACAACGCTTGCAAACACCATCCTGGCAACCTTTGGATTTTGGGTCACTACGAAATCGACATGGCGACATGCCAAGCACGTGCAAGGTCCTACCGGTATGTAGACACAGCCGATCTCTACATTCCATTGTTGTTTGCTCTTGGGATCTCCAGGAACCACAGATACCTACAGTATATGGCGGTCTAGATCATTCTAGATCACAGAACTTGGATGTGAACAACTCCATATCTTTTGGACTGATTGAGCTGTAATAGCTCCATGCTCGGCCTCCGTCTCACCCTGTGCAGCTCGTCTTCGCGCCAGGCATGGCACCCTCGGAGGCCCAGCGTGGCGGTGCTGCGACGGTCGACGCTGCAGATCTTCTCCTCCGAGAGGTCGGAAGACTCGGAAGACCTGCAGAGGTGAAAGACATGTCGACAGCAGAGTCGAAGCTGTGAAGTTTTTGTACAGCTGTGATTGGAACTGGGGGAAGCGAAGTCGACATTTTTTTGTGATGAGTCTTGCAAGCCATAGCCATGGGGTGACATGGAGATTGAAACTTTTTGAGTTTGACTTACTGCCTTTGAACAGTCTCCTGTAGTTTCAATCTGACAGGACAGACGATTTCCACTTCCGCAGCTACACTGTGACACTCCCTTGTTCTGCCTCAGCCGTTTGCTGGGCGCGGACGCAGCTGCTGCTCGGGGGAGAGAAGTTATGCTGCCTGGCTGAGAGAGTCAGCTCATTGTTGCTTTGTAGTATTGAGCCACCGAAGGCGTTCTGTGCTTTGCTACCGTAGTTGATGTCATGAAGGACACATACGTTGGAAACGAAGAACACATGCCTTTTTGCAAGGTGCTTGCTCTCTGGATGCCAGATTCAGCTGCATCGGAGAGCCCGAAGTTCAACCGGTGGACGATCCCATCGTCGAGCTGCAGATGGACTGCAGAGATTGGGTGATGGGACCATTGTGGACCTTTTGCAGGAAGATTCATCTGAATTCCTTGCACACTTCTACAGCCAGAGTTTGACTAGTAACAAGAAGCCACTTGTACTGGAAACAAAGGGCATCGCTACTAGGAGCAAGGACGCTACTAGTAGCTCCTGGACTTACTACTAGGAACAAGAAGCTACTAGTAACAAGATGTATCAAAGTGATTCACGACGGACATGTGAAGTGGGCCATAAGTAGGAGCCTTCCGAGCGCTGGGCCGCCTCTGTGCACCGCAGCGGCTGGTTGTTGGTTTGGTGGGCCGAAGAGAAGGCGGCCGAGATTTCGGGGCTGTTTGGGCAGGTTTGGGATCTGTGGCTTGGTGGAGGATGGTGGAGGTGGGTCATCTTCAATGCAAGGGGTTCAAATGACTCTCGGTGTCCATTGGCCCGAAGCATGTCCTCCTTTCCCATCCAAGAGGGGGAGTCATTTGTCGTGGACTATCTCAGCCAAGTCTGTTGCCCACGTGCTGGAGCTTGAAGGCGACCCTGCACGGGATCCTTTGGTAGAATGCCAAGACATGACCTATTTGGCTAAAGACAAGACCTACAAATATAGACAGGGGAACAAACGCTTGTTCCACCTGAGGTGCTGTGGTGGAAGCTTCCCAGCTCCCCTTGTGCCAGGCATCAGGCTCCCGCAGGCAGCCTTTGATGGGTTGCTGCACAGAGGCAGGACTCATTGGTCACCGCTAAACAACATCAACTTTCCTTAGAATGCCTCGAAACCACTGAGACTGTCACTGCTGGAATTCGTGATCGCTGATAAATCGCTAAATCAAGCACCTTTTTGGTCAGAAACCAGACGATTCATCCGGATGATTGTGTCAAGCAACAGTTGCTCGTTTCTCGGGCAGTTTGCACACATTTGTGCAAGAGAAACTTCTCCCTCCCTTTCTGTATCACATTTACATACTCTAATTGAGTTCGCAGCTGGCTCTTTCTTGGTATGGGACGTTCATCGCCCCCTACACAGGCTTTGGAAAAAGACTGTGTTGCGGCTCGCTGGGCCCCTCGAAGGAGGTGTGGAGTGCGGAGTGGAGTTGATCAAAGGGTTGGGGGAGCACCTGCCGTGTTTATAGTCTGGGGAGCAGCCTATCCTATCTTATCCTACATATTTGTGGGAGATGGAATGAGATGAGTAGTGGGTCTTATCTTTAAAGAGTAAACATTTGCATGACGATTGATCCGGCCAATCCTAACTGCCCGTAATCGTTTGAAAGCAACTATTTGCATATATTAATTTAATATATATTTGCTTTGTAACTTGTGGTTCTGCTGTCCGAGGTGAAGAAACCGCACCTTTGGCCGATGTTCTTTTCCTGTTCTCAGGTGTCCACCTTGCGCAGCCCTCTTGGCCGCCCAAAATCAACACGGCACGGTCACTGCTGCTTGGCCGAAGGAAGTACTCCGAGCGATCTGTTGGAGGACAACACAGCTGAACGGCAAGCCCAACCACTGTCAAAGATGCATCTGAGACTTTCGAACTTGTTTGGCACCCTTTGATGTTCCGAGAATGTACGGTACATTATATGAGTTTATACTTTCCTCAAAACTGCAGAGCTGACAGATGAAGACTGGAGGCTTTGGAAGAATGTCTCAGAACAACTATGTCCACGGCTTAAGTAGATGGTATATAATATCTCGGTAATTGATGGTAATTGAAGATTGTCTGACTTTCACAATGTCAGGTGTGGCGGGAGTCTTCATTTGATGAAGGCTGCTGTCTAGTGGCAGAGGCAGGTCGATCTGTTGCACATCACAATGGCTCACGCGAGTTCAGAAAGCCCCATGCAGTCCCCATGCTGTCCCATCGTCTGACAGGTTTCCATTTTGCGAAGAATCGAAACGGAATCGAATGGTGCAGGCACGCTGGAGCATCCCTGGGTTCAATGCACTCAGTTGGGTGGTCCCTGCTGATTGGGAGTGCGATTCAGAGGAGCGGAACTGAGACAGTGTGGAGCCATGAGATAGTCTTAGCCTCCAAGGCATCACTTCGGAGTTGAGAGGAAGGGAACAGGTTTGAAACATACTCTTTGCACCAATACATTCCAGTTTGAGCCCCCTCTGAGTTTCCTCTATAGAATGGCACGGGTGACCCTCTAAGGGCCTGTGATAAGCAATGTTGCTAAGAGAGCATCTGCACTTTGATGGTCATTATTGCATCATTGTGCTAGATCCTTTGGGTGAAGGCATTATTTTTTTTGATTTTGGAGTGGACATGACGCCATCTTTGTGGCCTTGGCACACTAGCGTTGCCATTCAAGATGATGGAGAGGGTAGCACGCCTCCAATGGTAATCTTCTCCGTGAACGAAGGCACTATGTCCAGAATTGACACCCAATTCAATTGGTTTTTGTTCGCCACAAAAAATAACCAACACTTGTGCTTTACCGTTCGGGACCATTGTGCTCCTTAAGCGAAGCTGGCGGGCAAGTGTTTATCTTGGCATTCACGTCATTACCGTGCTTCTGTGACTGATGGTGTGAGCCCCGACCGCGAAATGCAAGGTTTGGATGTTGTAGACTACCAGTTGTGCCAAACCCACATTATAATATCTAGAATCTAGAACATGGAATTTACGACCTCACCCCTAAATCACAAGGGGATGCAATGGGTTCAGGTTTCTGAGGTGGTTGTGGGTGCAAGGGCACAGCATTCACAAATGCCACAACTCACATTGTGTGTGGCGAGTTGTTGATTTTGCACCTAATTACAGCAACACTATGCATGTTTTGACAGCTGTATGTCTTTTTTTGTATTCATGGGGATTCACTGACTTTTGACCCAACAGCTACTTTTGGGCACTCAAGCACCACCAATTGAAGTAGACGAAATCCTGGCACCGAGGGCTTGAGACAAGAATCCAAGATCTAGGGGACGAAGTCAGCAATCTAGTCTAGTCTGCTTGTTTTTGCTTCCAAAAGCACTCCTACTCAGTCACCAATGTTAGGCCAACTGGCCAAGCAGTTCTGTGTGTGTGTGCGTGTTCGTGTTTGTGTGTGTGTCTTGGAACGTTGGGAGGACTGAGCACCAACCGAGTGGGGATGGCCAATCAGAAACTCGCGCGTCGTTGCAGCGGCCTCCTTTTCCAGGACGTCGACTGGTGGGAGGACAAAGTGCCATTGCGACCCACACAGCACGGAGTGGCTGCGAACACAGCTCTTTCCGCCAGCCTGGTCGCATGGCTGAAGAAGATGTAAGACCGAAATTGGCATTGGAGTATATTGGAGTCATGTCTCTCAGGTTGACTGAGTGAGACATACGATTTTGCCCGACTCATGTATTCCAGCTGAGTATTTGCCAGATTCCGTGCATGCCTGAGATGCCTTGAGAACGGTCCTGCTTTGTTGAGTTTCCAACTCCTCCCATCAGTGGCAACTTGTGCCAGCGTTTTCGATCAGCCTAGCTTCAAAGGGAAAATGTAGGCATCCTCCAAATGCATAAATAATATTGCACAGTGCTTTCCGATAGGTCTTTTCTGCAACCACCCAGCTGCAATGAATTCCTTGCCTAAAGTTTAGATTTTGTGAAAGGCACAGGGGCTCAGAAAGAATGAGCAGATAACGGGTTGTGAAATCAGGTCTCACTCACAGTTGTTTCGCCACCGCAGGTGGTGTTGGGCGTAGACGGCCTGACCCTTTTTTCATTGGAGTCTGCTAATGCAGCCTTGCCACTGCAGTGTCGCAGAAGACAGGCCGGGCCGTTTGCAGGGTCTTCGCCTTCCAGAGGTTGATCACACAAAACATGCTCTGTAAGGATCAACCCACCCTCACAGTTTTACGGTACGTCGTATTTTAGCCAGCTTCAACCACAGACACACACACACAGACACACACACACACTGAATGAATAACTGGCAGTTGGCGGAGCTTTTCCATGAAAGTGCAATCTTCAACTTAATTTGTCTCTTCGATGACAGGACTCGGACTTTCATTTTCTGCAGACAGGTCCTCCTATCAGTCGGGTCCTATCAACTCCACCACTCTGAGACTTCCAGACCCACCTTCACTGTCGGAACTTTTTTCGGCGGCTGAAAAGTCTGTTGCTGACCGATTCACCAGCATGATGAACCCCAATGTTTGTCACTCATTTGATGGGCAGCATAGTCTGACAATCTTTTGCTGACAAATCCAAGATTTCCAGGGCTTCATTGCTTCATACATCGGTGGTGTAGATTTTCCTTGAATGAGATGGCCGGGGCAAAACGTTGCTGAGATCGCTGGCTGCCCATCAGTGGCCATGCCAAGCCTTTGCAGCAGCCAGACCTTCAGTGTCGGAGGCAAGGCGCAGAGTGACTAGAGGGGAATGGTCAGGTCAACCAGCTGCTTGTGGACAGGAGGATTTCCAAACTACTGAGAGCGGAGACTGCACTTCGACTTGTCGCTTTTGGTACAGTCAGTTTTCTATTGGGCGAGTCTGGCTTTGAGACGAGGAAAAATGCAGTGTCGCTCTTTTGTTGGGCACTCAATCGCCTTGCACTCTTGACCTTTCAGAGTTTCTGCCCAGTGTTTGCTCCCCGGAAAGGATAGTGACAGCTTCTGGGAGGTCTATTGTTTGTGAAAGAGGGTGACAGCGCGACACCTTCATGGGATGCGTGGTTGTGCTCCCAAAGCCTGACTCTCAGTCGCTCTTCCGGTGATGAACGGTCTAAGTCAATGGGAAAACACGGAAGAGAACATGTTAGTAATTAGTAATGCTATGTAAACCAAATGGCAATGGCCTCCAACCTACTAGCGGCTAGCGATGGCCTCCACCCTAGTAACGTCTTGGGATTTGTGCATGTTCTAGAGCTGAAACAGTATGTTGACTTCCGCAGTAGCTGGCCTTTTAAGAGCTCAAGAACATTGTGCCTACACAACAATGTCTAGTCTTGAAATGGTTTCTAGTCTTGCAAGTTCAAACTCGTACAGCAACCAATAGTGGCCGCTATATCAATCTTTCCTTTATTTAGAGCTCCTTGGACGGGATGCTCCCATGCAGCTCTGGATTCTACCTGAGGTGGAGACCTCCTACGCATGCGCCTGGATTCAGATTCCTCGAGGGTGGTGGCGGCAGCAGGCGTGCTGGTTTGACCGGTCTTCCCACCTTGGGTGATGTGAAGTGAAGTTTTTGGAGGAACTTTGGCCAATACATCAGCCATATGGACCTGCCAGTATTTTCGAAACCAGTCAGCAGTGGGTGCGAGGGGCTGGGCAACGCTGCAGTCTGTTTGTCAATTTTAAATATGTTTGATCATGGGGAGCTTGGGATTTGACTGCTTTCGTGGACCCAAGACGTAAAAGGGAATGCTTGCTGCAGGTCACTGTTGTTTGGCCACGCGACCTCAGTGGCGTTTTGGGGGAGCACCTCAGCATCGGAACCATTGGATACCTTTGGAAGGGATTTCCATGAGCCTTCCACACGATTTCGGCAGGAGGTGCAGTGCCACCTGCAGCCGAGGAGAGAGTTTGCCTCCTGGTGTGGGTGTCGAACATTTACTGTAGGAATAGACGACTGCTCAGGTCACAAACGCGATATCATCGCAGATGAACGTAGGGCATGCGTCTTTCCAAATCACATCAAGGGCCCGTTTCTGGCCCTCCAGACAATGTTTTGTTATAATGACACCGGGGCTAGCAGTACCTGGCATTGCATGGCTTTTGGGGTTGGCAAAAGACATTCCGGCAGCATCCGCTGATGAATCGACCTTCAAAGGGCATTGCTATGATGATCAGCGCTTTGGATCGAATCGGATGAAGGAATTGGGGAACCCTCAAGGGCCCAACCACCTTTCCACTTTTTGGGGTCTGGACTTTCTGATTGGCCGATAGAAGTGCAATTACCTTGTGATTGGCGATCCGCGCTGCCTACGACCATTCCTCCCCTTTCGATGGTCGGAAGGTCATGATAGCACCTTCAAATCACAGGTCTGTGACACACCCACGTCCCTGGACCGTGGAGCCTGTGGAGGAGGTTTTGGACATGGCAGTGAGCCGTTTCTGGGGCTTGGTGGCCCTCCTGCTTGGCAACTCCCACTCGCTTGGCAGCTCTCTCTGGCTTTTTGAGATGCCGTGGCACCTTGGATTTTGCGTTCAGAGTTCATGACACTGGGGCCTCTGAAGATTTAAGTACGTGGTGATTCAGAGTCAAAAGAATTTTACATCTATCATCTATTTAAGACTCATTTGTGCACTGAAGAGGGTTGTCTCAGGTCAGTAAGGTTTCAATGACCTTATATACCGGGGAAGGTGGCAGACCACTGGGAGTGAACAAACACACACACGGAGGTTGCGAGCCGAATTGGGACATGGACACTACCAAGTGCCAGAAGGCCGGCGCGCCAGAATTGGGAACCCCTTTTTCAGACCATGGAGGCCACAACTTGAGAAAAGGTCTTTGTTAGGTAGCAGGTAGGCTCAAGGTCAACAATGAAACCATATGAAACCTGCTAATTTGTGGCACGGTGTTCTCATGACGTCAGGCTTGGGCAAGGAATGACTGCTGTTTCCGTTATCAGGTCAAAACTCCGGGATGGAAGCTGCTACCGATTGGGCAGGTGAGCCTCTTCACCAAGATCCACTTGGCACGCTTCAATGTTTCTTAGCTGACATTACACGAGGATGATTGAAGGTGACAGATGCCCATCACAGGAGCACTACGGATGCTTTCACCCAGATGTACCCATTCTTCAATCACCAGGTGCCCTGCACTTGGTCTCTCTTTGCTGGGTGCCGGGACGGCACGTTCCCCCACAACTCTTGGCCATTGACGAGCACGGGGCGCTGCAGCTAGTGATGCTGGAGAGCATGAGCGCAGAGAGATTGAAGGAGGCCTAAGCCACTGACCTGAGCCATGGACTTTTGATCCAGTTCCTTTGGTTGATGGTTTGTTATCCTTGAGACGGTACTGTAGCAATGTCCAAGACCTTGAAGTGGACTCCTCTTTTGTGGGATTGACAGCCTTTGGACATGAGCGAGTAGCTATATATTATATATATGCGAATGGAAGTGCAGCGACACGTACAGTGCAACTTGTACATATATATGTACCATATGTACTTTGGCTCAAGGATCAAGCGACTAGAAAAGGTGCGGTTTCCGTTCCGACGCTACGCCGCTTATGGACCGTCAGTGATAGCTTCAAACTTCGCTGATTAAGATCCACTCGCAGGTTATCAGCCGTACGCGCTCTTTATAGCCGTGCGAGCTACACGAGACCAAGAACAAGACTAGTCATTACAGAAACCTGCAATGTCAAGCTCAGGAGGAAATGGAAGCGAACCCTATTCATTCGCTGCTCCTGGTGGTCCCAACACCATTTCGTCACCAGACTCTACAATGGGTACTGATTCATCAGCAAATGCTGACGTTATCACTATGCCTACTGGATCACAAATCTCGGAAAGATCCGTGCCACCGGCTCGGAATCTGACCGATCTTGCACCCGTAGGACCAAGAAGATCGATGAGAGCTACAACAAGATCTACATCGCCTATAACGTCTACCGCGAGATCCCCAAGAAGGAGTATAGAGAAGAGACGTGACGATGATAGAGGAACAAAAGAACAAAGAAGAGAGATTCAGCTGGGTGAAGAATTGAGATCGGCGAGAAACGCATACAATTTTCTTCATGAAGAATATGAATGCATCCAAGCCGGATACTCACGACTACACCACGAGGCTGAAGTGGAGTTCAGGCAAATGTCTGACTACAACAGGAAGATGCAGGAACATCTACAAGAGATGACACAGGAAGATGAAGGAGCAACAATAAGAATTGAAGAGCTCGAACACAAACTACGCTTGGCGGAATCGACAGCTGAACATATCTACATGAGATATCAAGAGCTTGCACAAGAAACTCATCAAGAACATTCAGAGCTTGAATCTGTGAAAGCAACGAAGGACAGAATGTCCCAAGAGCTTCAAGCAGCAATTGGACACATCCAAGAACAGAATGAATCTTCATTGGCGATCAATAGAAGATCAAAAGCCATTCAGGATGAGAACACAGCCTTCGTCGGAATAGCTGACCAGATACAAGCTAGAATGATTGCGCTACAGGATGAGAATGTCAACATGCACGAGGTGATCCAACACCAGAGAGAAGAACAATGGAACAGTGAGGTCAGGGAAAGACGTCTTCAACACAGTGTTCACTCATCTCAAGATCAGAGCAATCAGGAAGCTATGGTTATTGATCATCTACGAGGTCAACTAGCTATGGCACGCGGAGCTGAACTCAACGCGAGAGCGGAGATAGGAGAGATGGAAGTGGGCATGAGGATGGAGATGTTTATATGCCAGACTGAAGTCTCTGCTAAAGAAATGGCAGAAATGAAGGCGAGCCACCATGAATACGAAGCGAACGTCGCAAAGGAGGTTATCGCAAAAGGAGAAATATTCAACAACGAAGTCCTAGAAAGTTCCATCCGTGAACGACAACAATTGAAAGACGTCAACCTCGCTCTATCCGAAGCCAACGCACAGCTGAAAAGAGAGAATATGATGAGAGCTCCTATGTTCGGTGATGATGGTGCTGAAATTCAACAGAAGATCAGAGAACTGGAGAATGCACTATTGGAAAGCCAGAAGGAGACAAAGAATGTCATTATGGAAAATGCGAAATTAAAAGCAAAAGCACGAATGGCACCCATAGTCTCTCGGTACAGCAAGCGTCCTAGTTCCAGAGACCGCGGGTTACCAACCCACGCGTCCGAGGAAGATGAGATTCGGAACGCAAAAGAGGAGGCGAAGCACTACAAGGACGGGTACAATGAAATGACAGAGAGCCGAGATGAGATGTATGAATGGTATGCCGAAACCCACAATGAGTACGCCGAGGAAAGGGAGAAATCAATTGAGCTATCCGAGGCGAACAAATCATTGAGGGACAAGATTTCAGAAGCAGAAGCATCCTCATCATCTCATCTTGCACCGGCAACCTCTACAATCATGAAAGTATCGAGGAAGGAAGAATCAAAGATAAACGTTCCGTCATGGCCCAGGATCAATGATCTTGGACTATGGAAGGCAAATCTCATTCAATCGATCATCATTGCGGCCAATGATTCAGATCAAGAGCCCTGGATCGACTGGATCAAGGAAGCCATGGATGATCCTGATCCGGACAAGTTTGTCGACTCAGGAGATCAAAGATTCCATTCAATCGATGCCAAACTCGGCCTAGCTCTTACCAAGGTCGTCATGGATGCGAAAGATGATGGTTCAGGTGTAGCTATGAAGTTGAGGACGAGGATCAATGCAAAAGGGAGAACATCAAGCCTCATAAAGGGAAGAGAGGTCTTAGCCCTGATCCTTATGAATTTCAAGACAACATCAAATGTGGAAGTCTTATATACTTCAATGCACCTCTAC